CCCGAACGTCATCCCCAAGGGGTCCTATACGTTCGGGCATTCAGGTTCGGGCGTTCGGGCCGTCCCGAGCGCTGGTTACCTTGTATATATATATATATATATATATATATATATAGGGTTGTCGACGTTCGGGACGGGCTGGACACCTGAACCCGAACGCCCGAACGTTTGGGACCCCGTCTCGACACGTTCAGACGTTCGGCCGAACGCAGAACCAAAAAAAAAACAAAAAAAACAACAACGAAGTTTCCAAACTTTCTGAAAAAAACAAATGTCATGCAGAAGAATAAACTTAACAACATTTGCCTCAATAATACATCCAAACTCCTTACCAAATTTGAAAAACAAATCAAATATAAAAAATAAATAATATTAATGAAAATAAGAAAAAATTAAACGAGAATGAAACTATTGGGTGGGCGAGGATATTTTTGACACCGCCATCTTTGACGATTTTTCTTTTTTTTTTGGCTTCGTCAAATGCCGTGACATTTTATACATATGTATCTCACATAATGGAGAACCTACAAATAAAATTTAAAAAAATAATAATTTTTTTCAGGCCCCGAAATAAAGGGAAAACCAAAAGTGAAAAGAGAAAAGAAACGAATTAGTTAGTGGGAAACCAAGTTTTGACACCAGCATATTTGCCGATTTTTCATTATTTTTTGGCTGCAGAGAATGTCTTCAAAATTGAGAGACAAATAGCTTACATAACAGAAAACTCATAAACAAAACATCTGAAAAAACTTATAATTTTTAGGTACCAAAATAATTTTTGCGGGGTCCGAACCCCTTCGAGTTCGGGCCCTGTACACCCGAATGTTCGGGGGTCAGCTTAGGGGCCTCCGTACGTTCGGCATGGCAACCCTTTATATATATATATGTATATATTTATATATATGTATATATATATATATCGTGGTTACCGGCCCGGACGTCCGGGATCCCTTTGACCGTCCGGGATGTCAGACGGGACGTCTGGTCAGACGTCGGACCGGACAGGGTATGTCCGACCTAGCGCAAAAAAAAAAAAAAAAAAAAAAAAAAAAAAAAAAGTTTTATTTTTGAAAAAATCATGTGGCTTTTACCTTGCATTAGGTGTATGCCACCGAAGTTTTGGATCATTTGGGCCAATAGAATAAATAATAAAAATCTTGAAAGTTTCATTCTCCATCTATACCCCTCCTATCCCCACCAAACCCCCTTCTACCCCCCCCTCCCCCCCCAAATACCACCCTATCAGCAAATGCTCAGAAAAATCTGAATTTTTTTGTTGGGGGTCTCTAGGCCATGCGCAACACTGTCATTTTTTTTTTTTATTATTATTATTTTTTTTTTTTTTTTTTGCCAAAAAGACGTCGTCTGGAAATCCAGACGACGGGGGGGGGAGACGTCCGATGGAGACGTCGGGTGTCCGGTCTCCCCCGGATGTCCGGGGGAGATGTCCGGGGGAGACGTCCGGTGGAGACGTCCGAGGGAGACGTCTGGTGGAGACGTCCGGGGGAGACGTCCGGCAGAAAGGAAAAGGAGTGGTGAAGTGATAGGGGTATCTTACGACATCAAAGAGATGTTTAGTAAGCTACCGCATGAATCCGTCTCAGCGGCAGTTGACTGGATTTTGGGGGTATATGAGAAGAAGGGAAGGGATTGGGTGAAAGTGAGGGCGAGAGGAAAGGGAGCTACCTTCGGAAGAAAAGAGGGTGAAGAGGGATGGGTAAAGATTGATTTTGAATCGATTAGGAAGATGGTTGACTTCGATCTGAAGCATATCTTGCTTCGAGCATCTGATCGGCTGATAAGACAGAAGGAGGGAATTTCAAGTAGTCCCCCAATTGCATGTATCTTGTGTGCATATTTTGAGAATATGTTTCTGAAAGGCATTGGGAAAAATGCAAAATTGGTTAAAGGGATTAGGCTCGTTGACGATATCTCCCTTTTCGTATGGAAGAAGTGGACAAAGGAGGGCAAGGAGAAGGCTGAAGAGCTCATCGGGAAATTTGAACACTGTTATGATGCGAACCTGATGCTAAAGAGGACGGATGTAGGGGCGGAAGAATGAAAATTTCTGGGGTGCAGAATACAGATCCGAAATGGAAAGGTCGACTGTTGGTTTTGAGCTAAGAATTTCGCAGAGATATGGGAAAGGAGTGGTAGACTGTCCTACAGATGCTTCGAAGATTTCAGTTCGTTCAGCTGCAAAAAACAGAAAAGGATGTAGGTGAACGGCATGCTACAAAGGATCGGGAGCTGTTCACTACCGGGAAGCGGGGTGGAAGAAAGTCTGCTCACGCTCAAACGCGAGCTGAGACGACAAGACTACCCCGCTGTTATGTTTGAGAAGACTCTGCAAACGTTTACTCAAGGGCACGCCCCTGACTGGGTGGCAATTGCTCAAAGGGTACTCCAAAGCTGACAGGAACTGAATAAGTCCGTCTCTCTGCGTATCAGTCGCAGTCGTAGGCTTTGATCTGCGACAAAGGCGCATTCGAAAGCTAGCCCGCTTTTGTCTATAATGAGTCATTTTGTCGTTTGTCGCTTTTAGTCGATTTTAGTCGATTTTTTCGTAGTCCCCCGAGTTGCTCTTTTGTCTGTGACGTGTCTTATGTCTTTGTCCTTTTTTTTGTCGTTTTTTTTCGTAGCCCCTCGGGTTGTCCTTTTTGTTAATTTTGTGGCTTTCATATTTTGTGGATTTCATAGTTTTGTCCCTGGGTAAGTCCGGTTGTGCTTACTGCGTTCGGAGTTCCCTAGGAAATCCTCAGGAGCAGAGGCCTGAATGAATGAGTTAGGGGCCGGCTGTGCAGGTACGTGCCATTAGATTAGTCGGCTTGGCGCCGCTACGCGAAATTAGAGCCTGTGTCGTACCTTCCCGCTGTCGGCGTCCTCGATGAAACCTGTAAACAGCAGACCGAATGAATGAGTGGGGGTTAGCCGTACAGGTGCATCTCGTAAGAGGGTATGTCGGTGTTTGCATAGTAAGGGCTTTTCGAGAACGACGAGACAAGTCCGACTCAGATAGTAGAAGCCAGGTGTTTGTTGTTGGTAGTTAGGAGCTATTAATAGAATAGAAGTTAGGAGTAAGGTCTCTTTCTCACTTCGAAACATCCCCCTGAGGATGACCGAGTCTGGCCCCGGTCGAAACGAGGCGTCGGGGACCGCCAGAGTGCAGAACCGTGAAGGTCTGCATGAAGCTTCGATGTGGCGTCTTGTTTATTTTACTTCGGAGCAAGTTTCGTTTTGAGTTTGAAATTTTGACTACGTCGAGTGCTCGCTTGTCTGTTTCAAAGAGTACTCACATTTCAGCGTTGAATGGAATGAGTCCATGCAGCTAGCCTGCACCGAAGTGATATCTTACCTCATCGCCGAACGCTTCAACCAACCGAGGGAATTTACTCGGAGAATGGTGCTAGCGAAGTCATGAGTTACGGTGTGAACGTGAGAAGAACCAGAGGAAGACTGACGTGAGAAGAACAACCGACGGTGTACAAGGAGGAACCATGACAGAAGTGTCGACTAGAAGCCGCTTCAAGGATGTATCGGAGGAACGACGACAGAAGAGGATACTATAGAGGCTATGAGAGCGTTGGTTGGGAAGAAAGAAGGCGTGACGAGCGCAGAGAAAGGAGAGGCGACAAAAGAATGGGGTGGTCCACGGACGAATACAGTGGGCGTAACATTGGAGGCGGAGGGAGGCAGGTGAGATGCTATGAATGTGGTGAGATGGGGCACTACAAGAGTCAGTGCCCAAGATTGCAAGGGAGGTTTTCTGGAAGTGGGAACCCATCGGGAGTCATTAGCCGTGAGCTGGAGGAATCACTTAGCTCAGTTGGGAAGATGGCAAAACTTCTGTTCGATCAAAAGAGAGAGGAGGAAGAAAAGAGAAGGAAAGAGGCGGAAGAGAAGGCAGCCAAGGAGGAGGCGGCTAGGCTTGATACTGAGAAGAAGAAATTGAAGGCAGATAAAGAAGCAAAGAGGCAGTGGGAGCTTAAGAAACTGTTGACAGAACAAAGCACGAATACCAAGAGCGTTTGGATAAGTTGGAGCAAAGGATTAAGGGCGTTACAGTTGGGAAGAAGAAGAAAGACAAGGTGCCAGTTCAAGCATCTTCAAGCTCTGAAAACGATGAAAACTCAGAGGCCGAAACTCCTCTTAAGGATAAACGCAAGAGAAGGGAATCCACCGGAGTTGTGGTTAACAGCCCCCCGGTGGAAACTCCGAAGAAGGTCGGAAAGAGAGGGGAAGAAGCCGGGACTCCGATGAGTGTGAAATCGAGGAGGGGGAGGGGGAGACCGACGAAAGCGGACGAACAAGCCGCAAGAATCGCGAAAGGAGATGACCCTTGGGAAGGCGTTCCCCTCAGTGAAAAGTATGCGACTGAATCTGCATATCGAAAGGCGGTAAGAAAGACCCTAGGGTCCTTCTACCTCGAGACCCTTAAGTTGATGTGTAAGGGCGCGGGGATCCCCTTTCTCGATGAAAGTGACGTCATGGATGTGCTCGCCGAGCTCAGGGTCACCTACTGTTTCTGCGGAAGAAGAGCTGGGGGGAGTACGTCGAGCAAGCAAGAGACTGATGAGAAAGTGACGGGAGACCTTAGGGATTCTAAGGAAGATCCGGTCCAGTGGATCCGACACATGGAGTGTTCTCCGAGAATTCTTGATTCACAGAAGATGGTGCAAGCTGAGCCGGTACGGTAAGGAGCTGAGACAGTTAGCGGACAGAATCCTGCGAAACTGTATCCTCCCCTTAATTCTGGAAAACGAAGTTGAGTGGGGAGGAAAGTTCGTTGAAAGTATTTGGGAGATCTTTGAGAATAGCAGAGAGGTATGGAATGATCCTGAATGCTGCGTGTACATCCTGCTTGATCCACTGAGTAGGCTGATTTATGTAGGAAAAACTAAAAGAAGTTTATCAGATAGATGGTTTGAGCATGTTGGGAGAACGTTGTCTAACGATGACCACCGGAGACGTAATAAGCTCTACTCGTGACTTAGGAAATGGGGATGGGAAGGACACGTACCGATCCCGATCGCACTAGCCCCGAAGGAAGAGCTCGAAGGGCTTGAGAAGAGGATTATTCGGAGATGGTCGCCGATGCTTAACGTTAATGGATGGAGGGACGGGAAGAAGAGGAAGAAGAGCAGGAGAAAGGGAAGGCAAGAGAGAGGTGGTAGGAGGAAGAGGTGCTTTGAAGATGAAAGGGTAGTGAGGTTCTCGGCTAAGGAGGACGTGAGTAGCGTGAAGCCGACGAGTATTATTGAAAGGCTGAAGGGAAAAAAGCATAGGGAGCTAACATCTAGTGGTGGAAAGATCTGGGGAGAAGACTGGAGTGTCGTAAGGAGGAGGTACGGTGGGTCTGACCTGGTGGCAAAAGGAAAGACCGTAAAGCTTCGTTCTGCGAAAATATGTTTTGAAGAAGGGGGAGTAATCCAACTGTCACGGATCCATGAACGAAAGCCTGGTGATTCGGCGAAGAAGAAACTCTTGCACCAGATGCTCAGACTACCATGGGCGAGGAAGAAGCTGAAGAAACTAGGAATTGGGGAGTTGGCAGAGTTGTATAGCAATATCGGTTCGTTCTCAAGCAAGGAGACGCGGAAGACGTTAAAGAACATCGTGGATTGCGAGGTGAAGGCAAGGTTCAAGATTAGCTTCAGAAGGAAGATTGTGGTATGGATCAGATACGATGAACGAGTGTCAAGAGCCGAAGTGAGAAGGGTGATGCAGGAGAAGATCAACCGCCAACACGAGTCCGCTGCTGTGGCAAAGTTACGTTGTCAGAAGCTACAATCGGTCTGGCGAAAGAACCAGACGATTGGCCAGCTTCTCCATAACCATCGCGAGTTCAGTCGCCAAATGGTTGTTGTCTGCATATGTGCAGATTTTGACCTTCCAAAACAGGAAGGACACATAATCTTCCGCCTAAGCACCAGAGGTGACGTGTGCGAAAAACTCTTCAACGCGAAGAACGTTGTAAGAGCCGTTGACTGCGAGAAAAAGGAGGTTGCATTATGTAGAGAGTTGAATGACGCTCTGCTGAAGGCGGGCTTCGACGATCCTTGGACTCTGCAGCAAGCCCGAGGATGCCTGAGGGCCCAGAATGTACATGAAGCTGGGCTGATCGATCGTATCTGGGAGTTAAAGGAGAGATGGAGGGAGCTGGTGTTTAGCCCGTTAGACAAGAATCCAACGGAAACCGTTGTGTTGTGTCCGACGAAGTATGCTGAAGAGATGAAGAAGATGTTTTGGAGGAATGCAGCGTTTGAGGCAGTTTGGGAAAAGGAAGAGAAAGTGATGGTACAAGCGAGGAGAGAATTTGAAGAGAAGGGGCTGTCGAAGATAGGTCAATGGGATAAGAAGGGTGTTGGGAGAGAACCCGGGGAGGGGCTACCTACCGTTCGCTGAAGCCATGGGCTACGGCGCCTGTCACTTCGCCGCGCCCGCTTCCGAGGTCCTCGACGACCAGTAGGGATGATATCCACAAGTTTACAGTAATTGGTTTTAGGAAATAAACAGCGATAGTAAATAAATAAAAAAATAGCAAAGTCAAAACTAGAATTCTCTCTCAATCTGTCTCTCACTGTGTGTGTGTGTGTGTGTGCGTGCGTCCGTGTCTGCTTGCGTGTGTGTTATGTGTGGGCGCACTTCTACCACTGCGCTGCCTTGCTTCAGAGTTCGGAACTTCCAACTTCCTCAAAAGACCGCTGTATCACTGTCCCCTTCTCCTTGCGTGAACCAGCTCCCGCTCTCTCTCTCTCTCTCTCTCTCTCTCTCTCTCTCT